ATATCAGCACTAAGTGCATTCAAGCTTATATTTATCTGCTTTAATAATTTAATTAAATATTTTAAAGCTTTTCAGACAATGAAAGCTAATAACACTACAAAACTATATAATATAATAATTATTGTATTTAAAGTTATAACGCAGACTCTTAGCACTATTTAATTATTATGGTAGAGATTTTGTCTTGCAGAGTTTAATTTAAGTTTGCCAATGATGATGAAAGAAAGAGAGCAAATAGACAAACTAAAAAATATTGCTGTCATTACAAAACGAAATTTGCTATATCATACATACACAATACATCAGTACATCACTTTTATACATTTTATAGATATTATCATACGTAAACATATAAACATACTCGTATATCAAAATCATGTAGCTTAACACATAACTAAATACTGGCACACAAAAAACTTGACTTATGAATTTTCTAAATACTCAAAACTAGCGTTGCTTATTGGTTTTTTTTCATTTGTTTAATTTTTCGTAAAATTACAACAACAAAAACAAACAGAACAATTTCAATTGTAATCAATGTGAAAGTATAATAAAATATAGAGCAATTAATTTAGCTGCAATGAAAATTCAAAACGGTAGCAAATAAAATTAGAAATTCAAAGCAAAAGCAAAAAATGCAATAAAAAGCAAAGAAAACAAACAAAAAAAAAAGCAAAAGCTAGTCACAGCCAAAGCACTGATGCAAACTACATATATACCGTCTTCTCTGTACTCGCCAACTGCCAACAAACACCAAACATCTACCAACACTAACAACAACAACAACACAACGATTCGAATGAACTACATCGATTTCCGATGACTTCCTTTTTGGCCAAAATCACTGCCGTGCTGATGTGTGCTTTGCTGGGTATATGTGTGTGCGTGTATGTGTGAGCAGACTTGCCACCGCACAAGACATTCGCTATCTGCACGACTTGAACACACAAATGTCCGTGAAGCGACAGACGACATGCGCGGAGCAGCAAAACGAGCGCGAACTTTGCAGCAAACACTTCGAAACGTTCGACACCTTTTGGGGTCGGCCGGGACACGGAGCGCCCGGGGAGGTGACGGCAAAGCAGAAATTGGACAATTTGCTTTATGGCGCCAGCAGCGAATGCTGGAATTGAGTAGCGGCGCCTCACCGTTGCCGGAAAAGAAGCAAATCCAGTGCATTGACCGCTTTCGCGATGACGCGCGGAGTGTAGGGAAGGATAACAACTAGAAGAAGGGAGAGGAGAAAGAACACTGAAACACTTTAAATTGACTTTTGTTCGAAAGATTTGGTTACTTAAGCAAAAAGTTGTGCAATTTCAATTACTTTTTATCTTGCATAAGCAGATACATATGTACATATACATATATGTGTATGTGTGTGCGTGTGCATTATTTGTTTTTAATCGAAACGAAAGCGAAATGTCATGGCGCGAGAAATTTTGTCGATTTGCCAGGTTGCAAGTTACACAAAGTTGAAACGAAAATGTGGAGATGATCAGGAAAATGGAGTTAATTGTATAAATTAAGTTGCTTTAAATGTTATTTAAATTTTTGTTTTCACGTAAGATATGTTTCTGTATCACTTAATTCATTTTTTCTACTAAGCTGTAATTTGTAGTTGTTGTAAATTTCAAAGCTGGCTTTCGCTGTATTATGTAAGTCAAACGGTTGGAATTTCTAGAAAATTAGCTAAGAAATTATTTTGTACTTCGTTCAGTTACGTACTATGAAAAATATTTTAATATTAGTTTAACATTTGATATTTATTGACAAATTAGTATATTTACAATTTACATGAAATTTTTGTGAAATATTTTACTTTAATCATGCCCATGCGTCAATAACTATAAATTATACAATTAATATAATT